TTATTATTATCATATAGATGAGTATACCAAGACTTAGAATTTAATCAAGTCAACCTAGGTCACATAAGGAAGAGTCACAAGCCTCTCTAACATCAAGCGTTCCCCATACCCTCAATGCTGGGGGCTGAAGCTGTTTCATAATAAGTACACAATCTATGACTGAACTATATTAGCATCTCTCATACAATGCATTCTTAATTCATACTCTCTAATTGCTAAAATATGTCCATATCTGCATATATAAATGCATATAATATATATTTAGCACATTTCTACTTTTTATGAATGTTTAAAATGGTTGCTTCTTTGGCTTACTCTTTTAAGTACAGATAACCCAATTTAAGAACAGACTTAATAATACTATTTTTAGTACAAAGTTGATTTTTGTCACCACTCTATTCAGTGACAAAAGCACTTTGAGCTTTTTTTTTGTTCACTGTTTTGATTAATTTTTTACTGTGGCTAAGGTACTCATCTGGAAGAAAGAGACTAGAGTGAAACTTCTATCACTGGCTTTTCAAATAAAACAAAGGCACCTACTTTATGATCAAAATCTTCATCGTAGAGCAAGAGTTCAGCAAACAACCATTTGTGGCCTACATATCACCCACTGTTTTCATAAATAATGTTTTACTGAAAAACATCCATACTCATCCACTTATATGCTGTCTACAGCAGAGTTGAGAGACAAAAACTGTATGTCTTGCAAAGCATAAAATATTTACTATCAGGCCCTAGAGGTTTTAGTATTTTGCTTTAAACAACTAAAATCATTAGCCAAACTCCTTTTCCAAAAAATAAAAATAAGACCCCCCACAATTATACTAAACACGATGGTTTCCCTCCCCATATTGAAATTTATAAATATATGCTTCTAATCACATTTAAATCACATTAGTCACTCTAAAATTTAATGACTCTGGATCATTCACATTCCATTGAACTAGTATATATATTTCATCCTTAATATTTTAATATTTTCTCCTAAAAGGAAAGAAACTATGCTGTAACTGGCAGTCTGCATATCTTGTGGATATTGGCTATGTAAGTTTTCTTAAGAGAAATGCTAATATACTAGAATTAAAATTAATGATGAAAAAAAAACAGGTTTGCTTCAAAACCAGATTAATTTCAAACTTAAGACTTGTGAAAAGCTTCTGGCTGGTAGTTAATTCAGATCCACTGATTTGATAACTAAAGAGAAAACTAATTAACACTGCTTTTAAAATAGGAAAATCAGATATGGAACATAAGATTAATCCCAGAAGACATACATTACAAATTAACACACAAAAATCAAGAGTTTCAAAAAATAGAATAAAAATCTATAGGTAGATGATTAACAAGACATCCTTTGTCCCAAGAAGTCTTTCTTAACCATTCAGAGTTAGCAACCTACATTTTTCCTAATCAAGCACTTACCATGTATACCATAAATGTTTATTTACTTGTATATGGTACAACTCCCCTTGATTTTATAAGCTCAACAAGGGCAGAAATCACATCTTTTAGTTATCATTGCATCCCTATTATCTAATATAATGATAAGCATACAGTAGGCACTCAATAAATATTCACAAAATAAAAACAGAAGAGATCACATGGGAGAAGTTCAAAACAATCTATACATTCAGAATTACTACTTAAAATACATAAAATCTGTATATGTTTTATTTTAATATTTTTATTTAATATTTTAATTACAATTTAGAATCCTGGTTTACAAACTTCAGTTCAGGGGTGGTATACTGAGTACATATATTATTTAAGAGGTCATTGCAAAAGAAAAAAAAAAGTTTGAAAAAAATCACTGATTTAGAAGATCAGCACAATATATAGCAACTAAGCTGGACAGATAGTATAAGGCTTTTCTTTTGTCATACTAGTATCACTACAATGTCCTGTGTGAAAACTCAGAAATAACCCAATTACTTGCCAGTAAACTTATTTCTGATATGTCCATTCCTGACAGCAGGTACCAAAGGTATTTTCTTATGATGCCATTTGGAGCACAGGAAATGATTTTTAATTCAAAAGCTTTCCAAAGGACATGACATATGGGAGGAACAAGAACATCCACATAACCTATAATGAACAGGAAACACAATATGCAATTTCTAGTTTCTAATCCTGCTCCAGGGTTAGGTCAAGAAGGAAACAGGAATTTTTCCCTAATTCTTAACCATGGAGCAGAAAGAAGAATTTATTCGGTTGTCAAACATAATGTATACGGTTGTCAGAGAGTGTCTTAAAAAAAAAGTTTCTGATAAGTAACTTGGGTTTCTTTAAAGATGAAAATGAATCATCCCTGGTGGCTAATTATCCATAGGTATTTATTTATGGTAGAATAGGATGAAGCCAAGTTTTCTCTAAAGTTAAGAGGTAAAGATAACTAACTGACTGCATTAAGGACACCCAAAAGGAGATGCTTAAGAGATTCATCCCAGCCAGGCATGGTAGCACACAACTGCAATCACAGCAATTCAGGAAGCTGAGGCAGGAGGATTACAACTTTGAGGCCAGCATCAGCATCTTAGTGAGACCCTGTCTCAAAATATAAAAAGGGATGGGAATATAGCTCAGTAGCAAAGCATCCCTGGGGTCAATCCCCAATACCAAAGACAGAGGGTCGGGGGAGGGGGGGGGAGAGGGAGAGAGAGGGAGAGAGAGAGAGAGAGAGAGAGAGAGAGAGAGAGAGAGAGACTCTGATTCAACCAGTATTATTCTGCTTTAAAGTATTTAATAACAAGAACCCAGTTTCCTTTTAACCCAATAAATCAAATCAAAATAAGTGGTTTTCCACTCAAATGGTGATGTGTGATAATGAAATCACTGACTTTGGAATGTATAACAACATACATATATTATAATATTTAAACCATACATCAATCCTAGAAAATTATTGGGGTTGGTATTTTAATTACTTTGTATATAACTGTTCATTTACATATATGATGAAGAGAAATACTTGTTCAAAAATCACACTGGTATGAAGCATTATAAAAAAGGATTAAAACCTTGATCTTCTGATTCCTAATCCAGGTCCCATAACATAATACCATAGTATCTGCCATCCAGAAGATTGAGAGGTTTAACATAAAAGCAAATCCCCTTCCTAAACATGTTACTGTATATGCTAACACAGAGAAACATTGGATCCAGCAGGGACACTGGAAGTAGATACGGATTTATATTTCAATTGTGCTACTCACTGGTTCATGATCTTTAATGTTCAGATTCATTTCCCAGTCTAAAAATGGGCAAAATACCAACACTATGGGGTTTTCAAAAGTTAAATGAGTAATATATACAAAGTGCTCACACAGAAGAGGTTCCAATTCTGGACATTGTTAGCAAGCAATAAATGTTAGTTGAAGGTGAAGGGAAAATTAACCTAACAAAAAACTGGATCCTAGTATGGTTCCATCAAAAAGGTTACTGAGGAATACTTATTCTATTCCATGGAATAAAGTGTTGCCTAACTCCAGATTTTAATCTTACCCCGCCACACACACACCAAAAAAAAGCCTTTAGAAATAGAACTCTGTATCTTTCTTCCTTGGTAGAGATTGAGGTTTCTGAGCTAGGCAAATAAGTTACTTATTCAAGTCCCTTCTGTAGTTATGAAAGACAAAGTATTTGATTTCCTCCCCTGATCCTCCCTTCTCTTTTTCTTGTGGAAAAAGCTACAGCTAAGGAAAAATAGTATTTTTAAAAGGGGGAATAAAGATAAGTAAACAACAGATAAGACAAACAGACTGAGTAATCACTTATGAATATGTCCACCTGAAAAGAAATGGTTTGCAGATATAGTAGGAAGAAGTTGTTCAGAGGAAAGAAAAAAAAAATCTAATTAATGTCTTGAATCCTAGGCAAAAGGTATATGGAAAGGGAGAGACCCATCCCATGAAGTTAAGAGTATCCTCATTACAGCAGTTTGCTGCAGACCCAGACCCTGATATGCTGCAAGAAAGCTGTGTTCTGGGCAATGACCTGTTCTCTAGGAAAGAAATGGCTTTCATTTCTTTTAATTATAATGAGAAATTAGTTTTCTCTAGGAATCTCAGACATACTAAAAAAGGAAAAAGTTCAGAAAGTTAAGCAGTTGAGAAAAATACTCGGGAGCTTCACTAAAAGAATAAAAAGGAAAATAAATTATCCATAAAGCTTTTTTCTTACAGAGAACAAAAGGACTATCTCCTTTATCCCCTTATTATTTACCTGATCACTAGGCAAGAAGAATCTGGAAATACAAAGAAGCTGTTAAGGAAAAGAAACTAAAGATTAAAGATTCATCTGAGGTTTTCAGTCACTCTATGGGCTAGAAACAAATGCTTCTCCCTTAGGTCATGTCTCATCTAAATAATAACTCAAAAATACCAAATGGCATAACAAAGATATACCTACCAACTGTCAGGGATGACTCAAATCCATCTTTAATGAAACAGCTGAGATTCTACTTCTTCATATAACTGTACTGCTACAAGTGTAAAGGGTACTATTTCTTACACTGGGAAGGGCAGGAAAGAACAATAGGCAAATTAATGAATTACATATGGTTCCAATTTCAAATTAGTCATTTGTTTCAAATGAAACATTCTACTTTGAGGCCTTTAGTATCTAATAGCAAAAGAACCATAAGCTTAAATATTCATAAAAAGAACTAGGGCCCACTCTTTTTCATATGAGAACCACTTATAACTAACAAAAAAAAGTATTATTAAACAAATTATGTTCTTCACAAGAAAAATATAAGAATTCTAATTCATTAGTATGCTATTGTTCTGCCCAACTATAAACAAGTTATTTATAAATGCCTATTGAAGTAAGACCAAAACTGAAGTACAGATATACTATTTCATTTAAAACAAACTACAAATGTTTCCAAATTTTTTATTTTATGCCAATCTAAATATGTAATATATTAATGTTAAAATGAACATTATCAATCTGTTAGTAGGAATGGGAAAAGAGAAAAATAAAGGAACTATTGGACATACCCTATGTAATATTTCTAAAACCTTTAATGCAGTATGAAGAAAACTGTTGAAAATTCTTCTTTCAGAAGGGGGAATGCCGATCTTGTAGAGTTTCAAAAGATGTACCACAACTTCCTTAAAAAGTTCTACTATCTTGAAGAATAGTGGAGGTTCAAGTATTGACCACCAGTTTTCTGTTATTAAAGGGTGAACATGCAAATAAAATGAATAAAAAATTCACAATTTTCAAAACCATACTGACTTTCTTCTAAAGCAGGGATTCTTTAACCCTTTGAAAATCCCAAGAAGGTGCACATAGCAATATTTTATATAACATGTCTACAGTGTCCAACACCCCCCAACCCAAACACCACCAAGTTAAAATATACTGTCCATAAAAGTGCTCAAAGAAAAAATAAAGTATAAAAAGCCTATGAATTTACACTATTGGTTTCCTACATTATGTTTTAAAATCCACCATATACTGTACCTAATATTAAAACCAGTTATTACAGTGTTTTTGTTATCAGAATTTTGATGTTTAAAATTAAATATACTTAAAAATGATTTTGTTCTAATATTTATGGATCTTTCCACATTTTCTCTCTCAGCTTACTATAAAGCTGAAATGTTGTATAGCACCAACTTTACAATGCAAGAAACTCCTGGAAACTTAATAATGTAAAGTTGTAACATGTATGTCGTTTTCCACATTCACAATTTGTTGTTGCTAACTATAAATATTACAATCTCATGAATCAAGTAGGGAAAAAGAAATCTTCTGAAATAGGGAAATAATATGAATTCCTGCTTCACTCTTCTATTACTAGCTAATTTCCTCAGATTCCAGTTTTCCATCCCTTGCTTGTTGCTTCCTCTGCTCACCCGCCATCTTAAAGGCTCTCGTACTTATTTTATTACTCATGTATTTCCACTCCATATATTTAGCAAATACTATCAGAAAGGAAAGCAATGGATTAAATGTAGCAAGCAAACTATAAAGATTAGGAGTCAGAAATGAAATCCATATAATTTAGAAAGATTAAAGTGAGAAAAGGTTAGGCAAAAAAAACAGCAAATAGAGACAGAACTGCTAGATTAGATGAGGAATAAAATCTTGTCTACAAGCAGAAAAATAAAATCAAACATTAGGAAATCAGCAAGCAAAGAAAACATGAGGCAAAGGGTTGACCATCAGGGTTCAAGGATGATATAAAACCCATGTTTATTCAGTTTTAATTGTTTCTTCCTCGTTTACTTCTTTAATAGCAAGATCACTCTCAAGGCAATGAGGGAGAGAAATAAAGATAACAATTTTTCTTTCTTGATACCAATTCTGCTGTTGTGTTTAATTAAAATTCTGTATCTAACAAGTTTTGCTTTCAGCAACTCCGACAATTAGAAGCAAATGACTAGGGAAAAAAAGCGACAAAAGGAAAAATAGCTTTATTTTTCCCTGTAGAACTATGTCAAAAAAGAAAGGCAGCAAAATGTCAAACAGCAAAAAGAACTTATCAGCATTTTTCATTTAAAGAGAAAAGGTTTCAAAAGAAAAAATACTGAAATTCTTACCGAGTACTTTCAGTGGTGCCTTTTCTAGGTTCACAAGAGCTGTACCAAAGGGAATTGCTATTGTTGTGAAATTGTTGGAATCACTCATCAGAGGACATTCTGGTAGAGTAAGATAAAACCTCAATGCTTCAACATCAGGTAATGAGCTAGTCAGTTTAGGTATAAGATTCTTTTCCAAACTAGCTGCCACCTATATTTTGACAAAAAGTAAAACCTACTTCATTTAAAATGAATTCACTTTAAAAAATGGTATTATAGCAAACATGAAAAGGTGAAGAAATAAAAAGATAAGACAATATCATACAATAAATGTACCACGGAGCACAATGAAAATCAATGCCTAAGCATTGCCAAGATAACTTTAAAAATCTTGTGTGAAAGTCTAATAAATATTCTACCTCTATAATCATAAACAGACTCAACCAAAACAATGATATTAATTCAGAATCTATTAACATTTGGAAAGATACACAGATCTCTGACAGCTAAATTACAAATGCTATAAAATGAAGTCCAATTTTAATTCTTCTATTAGTGCATGTAATAAAATTACATGAAGGACATCATAAGGAGTCCATGAAACAGTGAAGTTAATTAGGTTACAACACATAAAATAACATGGAATCAAAACCTCAGCTAAATATTATAAAAATGAAATACTTTAAAAACAAACCTGTTGAGATATCTGAGGATGATCAGGTTGTATAAGTTTGTGGAATAAAAGCCTAGCAGCATTCATATCAACCCCTGGAAACCTGGTACCTGTTCTATAGTGATCATCATTGCTAAAGAACAAAAAAATGACAATTAAAAAAAAAACAACTTTTTAAACATTATTCACCTTTATATATATTTAATACAATAAATTTAAAAAGTTTCAGCAAACCAAGGAATTGCCACTTACCTAACAGCTAGAAAACTTCCATTTAGGCAACCAGATGAAGAAAATGTTCCATCTATCTCACTAAAAAGAAATTTTTTTAAAAAGTCACAAAAAAATGATTTTTGTTTGCCATTTTTTACAGAAATGAAAATGTACAGTCAATCTAATATTTAACGGTACAGAGCACTCCTCTAAACAACACCCAATTAAAATGAATCAGAATTATGTAACTTACTGAAGATTATGTAATGTTTGAAAAGGTATAATCGTATGCCCTAATTTTCTCAAATGTGCTTTTCATCTTCTAATTTATCAAACAAATATGATATTCTTACATTATTTTTTGCAAAACTGGGGTTTGAACCCAGGGCCTCACCTGTGCTAAGCATGAATTCCACTCCCTAATCCTTTTGAGACAGGATCTCCCTGAACTTCCCCGCTGGCCTCAAGTTTACAATCCTCCTGCCTTATCCTTCAGAGTAGCTTGAATTGAAGGTATATGCCACTGTCCCTGGCCAATGTTCTTAACTGTTTTTTTTTAAGCATGCACATTTAATTTGTAAAATTCTACATGGTATAATGATAATCTTGGTCACTGGATAACTCTGGATATTTGGTAACCGTGGGTGCTATTTTTCAGGCCTACACTGGGATTTTCAGAAAATTTTTAGACATCTAAAATAACAAAACAGCTTAAATAGTCATATATCATTTAACAAAAGGGCATGTTCTGAGAAATGGGGCATTCAACAATTCATCATAGCCTACTACATACCTAGGCTATATAGTGTATATCCATAGCCTATTGCTCTTAGGACTATGATTGACAAAACCACTCAAGATTAAATAAAGCACAAGAAAGAGTGATGCACTCTAGATACTCAGCAAATACAAGATGTATGAAATTGCTGACAATGTAGCATAACATACTGTTGTACTGCAAACTCTAAAGTAACAATAAAAGGCACAGTATAGTAAACATATACACTAATAACAGTCATTTATCATCAAGTTATTACATAAGTAAATGTGCTATACTTGTATGTAACTGGCAATGCAGTGTTTACACCAACATCACCACAAACACAAGTGATGCATTGTGTTATGACAGCTACAATGTCACTAGACAACAGAAATTTTTTAGCTCCATTATAATCTCATGGGACCAGGGCAGTACACTGACCAAATAACAGAGGTCTGTCATTGACCGGTACTAGACAAATTAATTTATAAGCACAATATTCAAGAAAAAAGGAGTATTCAAGTCTTTCAGAGAAAAAAAATTAAGAGTGATTATTATGTCGTCAAAGGGGACATATTTCAAATCCCAAAATAGCTAATTCCACAGTTTATCATTTAACATATCTACGTTAGAACTGAAACTTGCACAAATTTCTGAAACTTGTACAAATTTAAATGAGATCTTTAAAAAGATTCATTATGGGCTGTGGTTGTAGCTCAGTAGTAGAGTGCTTGCCTAGGGATGGGTGAGGCCCTGAGTTCAATCTTCAGCACCACATAAAACACAAATAAACAACAAACAAAATAAAGTTTAAATTCTTAAAAAAATACTCATTATGAAAATTATAAATATTTAAATTTTTATACATATAAACCATGCAGTGAGTGAACTTCAATGAAATTAATACTGAAATGAAAATTCCCAGTAAAGGTTACTCTACCACAAGGTTGAGAAGTTGAGTTTGTCTTTGTGTAGGTAATATGCTTTCCTTACTTGGCTATCTCCACAGGAAACCTTCCAGAGGGATAGCTTAGCCATTTTTGAATCAGAGCTTCATTCACTGTCCAGATCTGCTTTGAAGGATCTGGACATCTGAAGTCATCTGGTGGCCCACAAGTCTAAATTATAAAATTAAGGAGATTAGTCAAAGGGAAGGGGTGTTATCTATAATTCAAAACTAAGAACCTCCTAGTATATATTTTTTAACAAAAGTTAATCTCCAGTAAACACATGAAACAAAAAACTTAGCCTATAGATCAAAATATAAATTTTGTAGACTTGGATAAAAATTAAAGCAACTACTCTGTAACATGTAAAGCACATAAAGTGTTTTAAAACGTCCTCGAAATTATTGAGCTACAGCTATAAAAGAATGAAATTTTGGCATTTGCTGGTAAATGGATGGAAATGGAGACTATCATGCCAAGTGAAATAAGCCAATCCCCAAAAAAACAAATCCCAAATGATCTCATATGTGAATGCTAACACACAACAAGAGGGAAGGGGAGAATAGAAGTTCACTGGATTAGACAAAAGGGAATGAAGGGAAGGGAGAGGGGATGAGAATAGGAAAGACATTAGAATAAATTCGACATTACATTCCTATGTTCTTCTATATAAATATACAACCAATGTTAACTCCAAATCATATACAACTCTATGTATGTATAGTATATCAAAATACATTCTACTGTCATGTATAACTAAGAAGAACAAATGAAAAAAAAAATTTAAATTATTTAGCTAAATAATTTACATGACTATTGTTACCTGGGGACTAGAGTAATGTGAAAAGCTTTGATCTCCACCTGAGAAAATTCTTTTTACACAGAAATATTCTTCAGAATCTGTAATACAAATAAAATGCAAAAATTAGAATCCAAAACACAACATATTTTCCAGAACATCACATTACTACTGAATTTGTCATACTCATCTAATTTAATTAGACCCCCCCACTCATGAAATATTCTGATTGCTCTGAAGATGAGACAGACCAAAGGATGAATGTTCAATGACTCCACAAGCATAAGCAGCATTTAATAAGTTTACAATTCATCCTTCTGGCATTCATGCAAGAATTAGTCTACCTCATTACATTTCAATTTAAACTAAAGATAATATAAAAACAGAATGAAAGCTGCAAGATAGCTTAAAATTAAACAAAGAATACTCAGCTGGGGTTGTGGCTCAGTAGTAGAGTGCTTGCCTAGCATGTATGAGGTATTGGGTTCGATTCTCAGCACCACATATACATAATAAAAAATAAAGGTCCATTGACAACTAAAAAATCTATCTATATGTGTGTGTGTGTGTGTGTTGTGTATATACACACAGTAAAAATTAAAATTTGAGTGAATACTTTATAATGCAAAATCAGTTCCTCTTTCAATATATCTGCTTAAAAGATGACACACACAGCTACTATAAATTAAATCTAGTTATTTCTAAATATAATACATGACCTCCATCTCTTTAGTTTTCTATTTCTTCACCTTATATTATTAGTTACCATACCTGCTACAGAGAATTACAAATTCTCTTCAAGGACCACATCTTAATTTTCTTTATTATTCCCTACTATCAAGTAAAGTGTTTCATTTGTAAAATAACTAAGTAAATATTTGGCAATATGAATAAACAATATAAAATAAATTTTATCTAGCTTAGCACATAGTAATAAAAGCTTCAGAGTTCAAAACATTAATAAAAAAAGTTTTCACAAGTCACAAGAATGCCCTATGACCAAAATATATTTCAAGAACAGATTAAGCTGATTGTTTAATTTTTAAAAAATCACATCATTCTCACAAGTATACATGAAATTGTTCCTTTCCCAAAAAGATTTATTAATATGTTGCTTATTTGTCCCTAAGTGATTCTGCCCACTAAAAATTCCCTAGAAGATGGATAACTAATCTAGAATATATGAACGGGTTGATAGGAGCTGGGTTAGGCACTAGAAATTAGTTTCCTTAATTTCCTTCCAACTGTTACTCCAAAAAGTCTGAGAAATCTAGTCATTTATCATGTACAACTTGCTGGAGATTGGATTTGCTGACTATATTTATGGTTTCTCCCAATATTGCTGGGGGCTGGGGATGTGGCCCAAGCGGTAGCGCGCTCGCCTGGCATGCGTGTGGCCTGGGTTCGATCCTCAGCATCACATACAAACAAAAATGTTGTGTCCGCCGAAAACTAAAAAATAAATATTAAAAAAAAAAATTCTCTCTCTCTCTCTCTCTCTCTCTCCAAAAAAAAAAAAAAAGGCTTCAATCACACCTTATTTCAGTAAAACTACTATACTGGGGGTTTGGGGGTATTCTTCCATCAGGAAACACAACGTCGGGTTCAGTTCCTTTTTTTTGTGATTCCTGGAAGCACTCGTACTCAATGCTTAGAACATTAATTCATTGTGCGTTTAAAATGGTAATATAGGCTCCATTATTTCTTCATATTTTAGCTGGACAATTAGCTTCCCCCAATCTACTATACAGTAACCCTGTAATAGGAAAGGGAATGTTAGTACACAATCATGTGCGTTTATTAACTATCCGTTTTGTATTCCTCATCAACATGAAAAAACACTTTTGATATTTACGATACTAACCTTAGGTTGTAATTATTACAAACTTTTTTTTCTAAAAGCTCCTTTGTTAATGTAGTAACGTTTAAAGTTGAAATGATTGGAATTTAAGAGCTGTAACATAATCAGTCCATCCTAGTTTGAATGGGACTGACTGGTTGATAACTGTAGGCAAATAGGGAGGAGATGAAAGAGATGGGTTACAGGGGGCATGCCCTGGAAAGATCCATCTTCCCTGTGACCTGGCCCTTTCCCCTTTCTCTCTCCCCCTCCTTTCCTCTGTCCCCAAAGCCACTATGAGGTGTTTTTCTCCAACCTGCTCTTCAGCCTTGCTATTTTTGGCTGTCTATGAACTGAGACCTCTGAAATGGCGAGTGCCAAATAAATGTTCCCTCCTCTAAGTTGTTCCTTTCGTTCACAGAGGTGCAAAAACAAACTAATATACCCATACCGAGGCAGGATGACCCCAACTTTAAAGCCAACCTCAGTAACTTTGTCAGATCCTATCTCAAAATAAAAAATGAAAAAGAACTGGAGATGTAGTTCAATGGTAGCTATTGATGGTACAATGGTACTGATGGCTAACGAAAGCCCCTGGGTTCAACCCCCCAGTACCACAAAACAACAAAAGAACTTTACTTTTGATTATATTATATTTATTTTTAAATATTTTTAGGGGTAGTTGGACACAATACCTTTATTTTATTATTTTTATGTGGTGCTAAGGATCGAACCCAGAACCTTGCACATGCTAGGTGAGCACTTTTACCTCTCAGCCACAACCCTAGCCCAAATATATACAAGGATTCATTGAATATCTACATGTGTACCAATAATCTGATTTAACTCTTAGTTTTATAGTATATGATGCCACATTTAGAAGGGCTAATTCATTCTCTCCTTACACTTTTCAAAATTTACTATCAGAGAAAATTATAAACTTTTGAAACAAACAAACAACAACAAAAAAAAAAAACCAGTTCTTTTTTTCTTTGAAGAGCTAGGAATCAAATCCAAGGCCTCATGTAATCTTAGAATGTGCTCCAATGAGCAACACCTCAAGCCCCAAAAGAGAACAGCTTTGGTCAGGCACTGTGACACATGCCTGTAATTCCAATGACACAGGAGGTTCACAAGTTCAAGCCCAGTCTGGGCAACTCAGAGGCACCCTGTCTCAAAAAAAAACAAAAAGGGTTGAGGTACACCTCAGTGGTAGAGTACCCAGTTTCAATCTCCAGTACTGCAGAAATTTTTTAAAAAGAAAAGGGGGCATTTTGATGGTCTCTGAAACAATCTACTCCCTTAGGACTTAATTCAGCATCCCAAATGGCTTTTATTTATGTAAGCTGAAACCATTAATACTTAAACATATTGCAACTTAAAAAAATTTTTTAATACTGATTTACTTGAAGATCATCAATAATGAATGCACTACATGTTAACATAAAAAACATCTTTGGGGCTGGGGTTGTGACTCAGTGTGGAGCACTTGCCTGGCACATGTAAGACACTAAGTTCGATCCTCAGCACCACATAAAGTAAATAAAAATAAACAAAGGCATTGTATACATCTACAACCAGAAAACTTAAAAATACAGAGACTATTTTGGCCTCATGAATACTCACAAAGCCAAAGTATCACTTTTTTCTAGAACATAAAAGTTTAAAAACACAATTAGGTAACTAGATTTTATTTGCCTTAGAGTTTATATGTGACTCTAAGATTTTAAAATGGTTTAAAATTTTAGCAAATTTCATAAAGTCTGGTTTTTGTTTTTTTTTTTTTTGTTTACCGATACATGCCTATAAAATGTTGTTGTACACTTTTGTGTACTCTTCCAGGTAGCACATATTCTGTCTTACTAGAATAATTTCCTATGCTTCATGTTGCTTTTAAGGAGGAAAAGAACAAAGTGTTTCACTTATGAGTGCTAAAATTACTTTCAACCATATTATGTATTTTTTGAACCATTTTATTGTCACTTTAGTAAAAAAGGTAAGCAAGTACAATTTTTTAAGTACCCATGATTATTTTTTCCTTTATAATTCATACTTCAGTTATTAACTGGTTTTTTTTTTTTTTTTTTTGCAAAACCATTTAATTACTATTGTTTCAAGAAAGAAAGAGAATATGAAATAAGACAGGAAACAAAAGAAAAACAAGAAATTTTGTAAAGGTAAAAATCATTTCACCCACTTCAGGTCTGCCCATCTACTTTGAAAGTTTTAACTAGAATTTGATTTCTAAATCTAAAACCATTTTTTTCCATTAAGTTTTTAATTTATTTTTAATAGGGGCATTATAATTACACATAATAGTGGGATCATTATTCCATATTCATACATGACATTACATATTTAAACAATCTCATCTCCCAGTACTTTCCTTATCTCTCTGCCCCTGTACAGCAAATGGACTGTGGTTGTATGTACCTTAATGAAATGTGCAAATTTCCTCTCACACTGATTTTTGCCTTCCTGTGATGTGTTGAATTGTCCCCACAAAAAGTTCACATCTAGTGGGCATGGTGGCACATGCCTGTAATCCCAGCCATTTGGAAGGCTGAGGAGGGAGGATCACGAGTTCAAAGCCAGCCTCAGCAAAGGCGAGGCACTAAGCAAACTCAGTGAGACCCTGTCTCTAAATAAAATACAAAATAGAACTAGGGATGTGGCTCAGTGTTCGATCCCTGGTACAAAAAAAAAAACAACAAAAAAAAAGTTCACATCTAAAATCCTAACTCCCAATACCTCAGAGTGTGACCATATCTGATTATTAAGATCTTTAAAAGAGGGCTGGGGTTGTGGCTCAATGGTAGAGTGCTTGCCTCACATTCGTGGGACACTGGGTTCAACAATTTAGGATGGTAAAGAAAACATAAAAAGGAAGTACATCTTCATTATAGCATGTAACCAAATGAATGCAAAAATAGCATCAAATATTTCTAATATTTCATATGATATGTCAATAAAAAAACCCAGATCTACTGCAAAAATAGAAATAAAAATAAAGAAATACACATTTGGCTAAAACAAAAAGGGAATAAAAAGAAAATTAAAAATTTACTATCTTGAATAGGTAGACTTATATACTTTAAACTTTAAAAAATTAGTTTCTGATATACAATTTAAATTCCTGTGTACACCCAAAATAATTAAAAGCAGAATCTCAGATATTTGTACACCCATGTTCACAACAGTATTATTCACAATAGCCTAAATGGTGGAAATAAGTAAAGCCTATAAGTAAAATTAGATGTGGTATAAACATAAAATGGAACATTAAGTTTTTAAAAATAAAAATAAAAAATTCTGACACATGCTACAACATGGATGAACCTTGATAACATTATGCTAAGTAAACCAGTTAGGAAAAAACAATACCATATGATTCCATTCCATTAAGAGTCAAATCTAATTCAGAGAAAGAAAGCACAATGATAGTGGTGGGGGTGTAATAAAGAGCTGGTGTTTAATGGACATAGAGCTTTAATTCTACAAGATGAAGAGTCTTGGAGAACGATTATACAAAATATTAATGTATTTAGTAATTGTATACTGTTGAACTTAAAAATGGTTAAGTTGGTTAGTTTAGTTATTTTTAACTTCACCAATTTAAAAACAAAAATTCCCTCTCATTGATTTCTAGCCACCACTTAGTTCTTATATTACCCACCCTCTAGAAACCACTTTTACTTTATCAAGAATTTCCTTAACTATATATAATAAACAAATTAAGCAACCATATGCATTGCTCTTAAACTTGTTATTTTAACTTAAAAACATAAAAAGCTTCATCACTTAAGAGCAACATTTTATTGAAAACCTTAGTATGTGTAACACAGCTGTAATATATTACTTACCACTATCTAGCGAACATTGCCCATTATATGGAAACCAATTTCCTTTTACAGTGAAAGGACTTTTCCTGTTGCTTGTTGAACCAGTTCCCAGCTGCCCATTACCACCAAGACCAAAAGAATAAATTCGTCCTGATGAAGGGACAAAAGCAGAAGTATGTTGCCTAAAATGATAGAAAACCTCAGACTTAGTATTATATTCCAAACAATTTACATTAAAAAAAATAATAACTGAAATTAATTTTTCTCTTCAAAAATAAATAAAAACAATTGTTATAAAACTTTTGTACAATATCAACAACCTTAATCTATAACAAATCAATTCAGTATCACACAGGTAGGTTGCATAAGCATGGTTCAGAAAATGCTCAAGTTTAAAATATTCAAATTTCAAATGTTCAAAGGTTTATACTAAAATCTCTTACAACAGATGATTCAGCACAGGAGTAGCATCCAACTAAGATGTCCAAGGAGGTCCTTCCTCCACTTTCCCTATTTGTCTTTGGGCACCACTCAAAAAAAAGTTTTAGGCTAAGAACTAAGCAAGTAATCTGGCATCCATCACAACAGCAATAATGTTTCCTTCTTCTAAGGAAACCCATCAATATATTTATTACTCCAGACCCCTGTGAAGGTACTATGGTCAAAACAAACTTAGGAAACTACAGAATGAAAACCAATCTACTCTCCATGAATCTGTACAACTCTGATATTTTAACTATGTTTACAAATAAGTTAAATATTGTTAAGTAGGCCTTATGGTCTTGGGTTTTATGTCTTTAGTCAGGTCTGGAAAATTCTCAACCATTATTTCTGTAGTCTTTCACTTAATCATTCCTATTCTTCTAGAGCAGAATTAAACAAATGTTGGCTCTTCCCAAAATATATCCTACTTTTTTATTTTGCTGGTTTTGGTACTGAGGATTTAATCCAGAGGCACTTTACCACTGAGCCACATAATTCCAAAATGGGTATATCAGATAGACTCTGCCAGTGTAATTGTTATATAGCCCCTTTTATTTTTTTAAGACAGGATCTCACTAAATTGCTGAGAGCCTTGCTAAATAGCTGAGGTTGGTCTTGAACTTGTAATCCTCCTGCCTCAGTCTCCCAAGTCACTAGGATTATAGGCATGTGTCTCTCTGTACCCAGCTCAGACATAAAATGTTTAGTGAGCTTAAAATTTAACTAAAAAGTTAAATTCTTAGAAAAAAACACCACTTCCAAACAACTGACTTACGAAGAAATAACAAAAGCAACCTTTGAAGCCACCAAAGAAATAAAAGAATGTCTTTACATTTTTAAAAACAAAAATGCCAAGCCCAACCTTTTGGTTTTACTTTTAAAAAAAAGAAAATAAGGATACATTTCTCAATTTGTCAGACTAAACTTGATAACCAAATCAGTTACTCCAGAAAAACAAAGCTGTTTACTAGAAAATTTCATTAACATAATTTGCCATAATTTATAGAAATTTAACAGATTAAAAGGGAAAAATCATAATCATCCTGAAATAAGCTGAGAACTTAGCATCTGTTCACGAGTAAAAGTAGTAATAAAGGAAAGTTTCTTAATCTGATAAAGGTTATCTACAAAAATCTTGTAACAAACAATTGTGAAATACTGGAAGCTTTCCCACAAAGAAACAGGACATGATGTTTCTTTGATCTTCAGAACTTCTAGTTAACATTATACTAGTGTCCCAACCAACACATTAAGGCAAGACAATTATATAAATGTTAAATAAAAATAACGGAAAGAAACTAAACTGATTAACAGATATGATTATATACATAAATAAGTTATTAATAGGAGTTTAGTAAGGTGATGGTATTCAAGTTGCAAGTACATACAGTACTTAATTTATGGCAACAGTGGCATGATAGAGCAGGAGGGTGGAGGATTTTCAAAACTGTAGCTAGACAGGAGAATTCTAAGAAAATGATAGCCTAGGACACACCAAGAATCTGTTTTCCCACCTACGTAACAATTACACTGGCAGAGTCTATCTGATATACCCATTTTTGAATTATTTAGCCTATTTAAAGCTTGCAACTTCTTGGAGATGGGTTAGATGGAAAATTGTAGCTAATTCAAGGAAATCTCAGCTCTCAGCACAGCAGTAGCTATTCATCTGGCTTCTCTGCATCACACATCAATGAACATGTTCCAGGAATAGCTTACAGGTGCCAGGGTGGGCAATAAGGACCTTATCCAGATACTGGGAATGGAGTTTTGATCACTTATTATCATTTCTGACTGCCAAGATGCAGAAAGGTAGATAGCTATCGTTGTACCCTTCTCATTCTGGCTGAAGACTTATAAGGCTGGCACAGTCTTTTCTTTCTTCTTCCCTTCACCCCTTTTATCCTTCCTTCACTTTTTTCCTTCTTCCCCTGTTGGGAGGTCTAGGACATTCAAAAGCAACCACATATATGGAGGGATATAAGTCACAATTACACACCCAAGGAAAGGTGCAGGATTGTAATTTTCTTGTATATATCTAGAGTTCCAAAAAATTCTTCAGCTGCCTTCACCTCAGCACTCATACTTAACTACTTTCACGTGATGTAATAAATAATGATGATTGAATAATTTAAACCACACAGAGCTAGCAATAAATTTATTATAGTCAGGTCTAGCCTTTTCTTTCAGTAATACAAACAAACTTTGCTTCACTCATGATCCTCATGGTGCTTAGAGAGATATGCTTCTGTGTTTGGTCTTCAATCCAGGTCATTAGATGTTTCTCCAGTCACAAATACATACACTTTTTAAATTTCTATTAATCTTTTTGCGTTTAATGAAGCAGATCCTTAACAACTTCTAGTCCTTTATTCTTTTTTTAAACAGACACATAATGATCATATGTAGTGATTGGGTACAGTATGCTATTTTGACACATACATACAACACATTAAATGGAAATGAGTATATCTAACACCTCAACCATTTATTATTTCTGTATTGTAAGCATTCACAAAACAGTTTCTTGAAATATATAATAAATTAATCACTATAATCACCTTACTATGTTAAAGAACACAAGACTTAAACTTCCTAATTGTATGTTTCCACCCCCCTCATTTATCAACTCTTTCCTACTTCCCCTTACCTCTACCCTTCCTAGCCTCTGGTAACCACTTTCTAGTCCTCTATAAGATCAACATTTTTAGTTTTCATATGAGTGCATGTACAATTTGTCTTTCTGTACCTGGATGATTTCACTTAATATCCCACTGCTATCACTTTGTCCCTGTTCTTCAAAATCATAGTTATGATGGAATTGGTTATGTCTGACTACAAGGAAGAGCCATCACTGAATTTCCATTTTTGTAGTCCTTACTTATATTTTTTTCCAGGTCATTCATTCAATAGTTGCAGTGGATTTTGTACACATAGGAGTCATAACGAACAAAAATTAAATCAAGCACAATAGAAAGATGACAAAACCAAGAGGTTCAGTAAAAATGAGATGAGGCTCCTGCTAGAGTAACATGGCATAGTTTTTTTCATTAAATATTTTTACTTAATAAATAATAGGAGCACACTATACTATAGAACTCATAGTAAATACATAAGCCACATAGTTGTATAGTCTTACATACTATACATAATTGTATGTGCTGTATTTCTATATGACTGGCAGTGCAATAGATTTGTTTACACAAGTATCACCACAAACACAGGAATAATTTATTATGCTTCATGTCTTGATGGCTATACTGTTACAGGTGACAGCAATTTTTTAGTTCTATTATAATCTTTTGGACTATCTCATACATGTGGCCCATTAAGACTAGAACATTGCTGTTACATGTGGCTATACACATTCTCTTCAAGATACTCATTTTAAATCTGAAACATAAACTAACTGAAAATGAAAAGGCTAGAAAAAATATTTCATGCAAATAACCCAAAGAGACCAGGACAGGGCTTGAGGTGTGGCTCAGTAGCACATGCCTGGCATATACAAGGCCTTCAGCAGGATCCCTAGCATCACAGGAAAGGGGCAAGGAAAGCTCTGTTAACAGAAAAAAATATAAACTAAAAAAAAAAAAGTAATGTGACAGGAAGGGTTATTATGAATGTCTGAGAATGTTTTTTTGTTGCTTAAACAGAGAATCTGAGATTGGATATTTCGTGGGGGGGGGGGGGAATCCTTCTCAGATTTCTCCAAACACCTCCTAACTAATTCAATGAGGTCAGCACCGTCCTCATAACAAAGCCAAGAAAACTATAGATCATTATTCCTTGTTAACGCTGATGCAAAAATCCTCAATAGTTTGGAACAGTGGTGAACGTCTGTAACTCCAGCGATGTGAGAGATTGATGCAGGAGACTTTCAAGTTCTAAGACAACCTCAGCAAAAAAGTATACCCTGTCTCAAAATAAAAAATACAAAGGGCAGGGGTGTTGAGAGCCACAGCCAAAGGGGCCCCAGCAAACTTCCAGCTGCCAGCAACCAGCTGCCGGCTGAGATTTGGCTCACAGCGGCCCCAGCAACATCTAGCTGATTGGCTCCTCCGCCCCAGCAACATCTAGCTGATTGGCTCCTCTGCGGTGATGCTCATTGGACTGTTTCCCTGCCCTTTCAGACCACGGAGCTGCTCATTGGGGGACTTTTTTGGCTCCGCCCACGTGACCCAGCCAATCGGCCTCAAGAGCAGGAGGATTGTGGGAGGTGGAGAGAAGCTTGTGGGGGAGAGAGAGGCTTGGGGAAAGCCGGTGGTGGCAGTTGAGGCTCTGAGGGTTTTTCCTGAGAGACTATTTTGTTTGTCGTGTGTGGTTCTAAAAATAAAGTTAGTTTCTTTTGACAAGTGGCTCCTGATTGTGCCCAGCCAGACTGCGGCACAGGGGATCTCCTGCGTTCAATCCCTAGTACTGCAGAAGACAAAACAAAACCTTCAATAAAGTACAATAAAATCTTCAATAAAAAACACCAGCACATTAAGACAATTATACACCATGACCAAACAAGATTTACTCCTAGAATGCAAGGATGGTTCAAAATGGAAAAAAAAAAATGTGGTATATCTTATTAACAGAATGAAGGAGAAAAACAACACATTATAATTCAAATAGCTACAGAAAGAGCACTTGACAAACTTAAACACACTTTTACAATAAAATAAACAAAACAACAAAAACCTGACAAACTGGG